GTGCCTGGGATTATTACCTAAAAAAGAAAATAACTTCATTATTGAAAACAGTTAAAATTGCATATTCAATTGAACATTGTTAGTATGATTGAACTAGAATATCTTTACCGGTAGTATACAAGACAGTAGCTTATTTCCTTCAACAACACTGACATAATGAGGTTCTACTTTCTCTACAAATATTTGTCTTTGATCACATGATGACGATGACTAGGCATGATTACCTTTTGAATATGACGGAGAAACCTCAACCCAAAGGAAAATGATTGCTTAACACTACGTTTGCTTCAAGAATTGTACCCTGAATGTTGAATTTTCCCCGACAAATCCTTACTGTGGCGGATGATTCTTTATCTATCATCAGATTCTTTGTCTCTCATTGTAACAATAATGTGTTTTAAAACAGATATCAACATTTGTAATCTATTCATACCCTATAAGAGAAATCTTTGAAGGTAATTAGCAGAAGATGATTATGTTAATGGTGGGGCAAAAGAACCTGCTATATGATATGCTGTCAATAAAAAAAGAATCTCTGCTGGTATTTTATCTATATACTCACTTCTTTATCTTCCACAACAGTTAGTCCTTTTATTTTTAACTGCCTTACTTTGACTTCTCCGTGAAATGCACGAAGTGACCTTATATGGGCATCCTTGATGTTTTCATCTAGAAAATAAATTGTGGGCAAGTGTTAATATCAACCCAGGAATCATATACTCCTGACAGAAGGCACTGTATGTGCATAATATGAAACTATAATGATCCTTACAGACGAAGAAATATTATAGAAAGAAAAATTCTCAACAAGGAGTCTTTAGTACTTTCATCTCTTTATTTAACTATATATATATATATAGAATAAAAACAAATTTTTCAGATCGTCCGCTAGGCCTTTCTGCCTTCTAGGGCTTCTTCTGCCTGAAGAATCCCTAGATATATTCTATATTTTCCTTCGCAAGGACTTATTTATTTATTATCTACTATATATATATATACTGGACAGTTTATAGGGTACTTATATACCCAAGATAACATGGAGAAAACCTGTATATAGAAATATCTTTATACACAGGACACAATACAGGTATACACAAAACATCATACAAAACACCTGATTACACAGGACACCATACAGTATACCTGTATACACAGGACATCATACAAAACACCCGATTACACAGGACACCATTCAGTTTACGGTACCTGTATACATCATACACCATATTACAGAGAACCTGTATCCACAAGACACCATATAGTATACCTGTATACACACGACATCATACAAAACACCTGATTACACAGGACACCATACAGTTTACGGTCCCTGTATACATCATACACCATACTACAGAGTACCTGTATACACAAGACACAATATAGTATACCTGTATACACACAACATCATACAAAACGCCTGATTACACAGGACACCATACAGTTTACCTGTATACACATGACACCATACAATATACCTGTAAACACAGTATACCATATAAAATCCATGTATACACAGAACACAAAACTGAATACCTGTATACATAGAACATGCAACAGAATACTTGTATACAGGGAACACGTCAGTGTACATGTATACACAAGACACCATACAAAGTACATTAATACACAGGACACCACCCAGTATACCTGTTTACACAAGACACCAATCAGTATACCTGTTTACACAGAACACGAAACAGAATACCTGTATACAGGAAGCAATTCAAAGTACCTGTATACACAAGACACCACAGAATGAATACCTGTATACACAAGACACCATACAAAGTACATGTTTACACAGGACACCACCCAGTATACCTGTTTAGACAAGACACCAATCAGTATACCTGTTTACACAGAACACGAAACAGAATACCTGTATACAGGAAGCAATTCAAAGTACCTGTATACACAAGACACCACAGAATGAATACCTGTATACACAAGACACCATACAAAGTACATGTATACACAGGACACCAACCAGAATACCTGTTTACACAAGACACCAAACAGTATACCTGTTTGTATACACAGACACAAACAGTACAAAACACCTGATTACACAGGACACCATACAGTTTACCTGTATACACATGACACCATACAATATACCTGTAAACACAGTATACCATATAAAATACATGTATACACAGAACACAAAACTGAATACCTGTATACATAGAACATGCAACAGAATACTTGTATACAGGGAACACGTCAGTGTACATGTATACACAAGACACCATACAAAGTACATGTATACACAGGACACCAACCAGTATACCTGTTTACACAAGACACCAAAAAGTATACCTGTTTACACAAGACACCAAGCAGTATACCTGTTTACACAGAACACGAAACAGAATACCTGTATACAGGAAGCAATTCAAAGTACCTGTATACACAAGACACCACAGAATGAATACCTGTATACACAAGACACCATACAAAGTACATTAATACACAGGACACCACCCAGTATACCTGTTTACACAAGACACCAAAAAGTATACCTGTTTACACAAGACACCAAACAGTATACCTGTTTACACAAGACACCAATCAGTATACCTGTTTACACAGAACACAAAACAGAATACCTCTATACACAAGACACCATACAAAGTACATGTTTACACAGGACACCACCCAGTATACCTGTTTACACAAGACACCAATCAGTATACCTGTTTACACAGAACACGAAACAGAATACCTGTATACAGGAAGCAATTCAAAGTACCTGTAAACACAAGACACCACAGAATGAATACATGTATACACATGACACCTTACAGAGTACATATATACACAGGACATCAAACAGTATACATGGATACACAGGACACCATACAGGATACATGTACACAAGACACCACATAGTATACCTGTATACACAGGACAACAAACAGTTTTCCTGCATACACAAGACACAATACAGAGTACATGTATACACAGGACACCATATAGTATACATGTACACAAGACACCACATAGTATACCTGTATACACAGGACAACAAACAGTTTTCCTGCATACACAAGACACAATACAGAGTACATGTATACACAGGACACCATACAGTATACATGTACACAAGACACCACATAGTATACCTGTATACACAGGACAACAAACAGTTTTCCTGCATACACAAGACACAATACAGAGTACATGTATACACAGGACACCATACAGTATACATGTACACAAGACACCATATAGTATACCTGTATACACAGGACAACAAACAGTTTTCCTGCATACACAAGACACAATACAGAGTACATGTATACACAGGACACCAAACAATATACTTTACACAAGACACCAAACAGTATACCTGTTTGTATACACAAGACACATACCATACAGAATGAATACCTGCATACAGAAGACACCATACAGAATGAAAACCTGTATACACAAGACACATACCATACAGAATGAATACCTGTTTACACAAGACACCATACAGAATGAATTCCTGTTTACACAAGACACCATACAGAATTTATACCTTATACACAAGACACCATACAGAATTCATACCTGTATACACAGGACACCAAACAGTATACATGTATACACAGGACACCATACAGTATACATGTACCTGTTTACACAGGACACCATACAGAGTACATGTATACACATGACACCAAACAGTATACATGTATACACAGGACACCAAACAGTATACATGTACCTGTTAACACAGGACACCATACAGTATAACGGTTAACACAGGACACCATACAGTATACCTGTTTACACAGGACACCATACACTATAACGGTTAACACAAGACACCATACAGTATACTTGTTTACACAGGACACCATACAGTATACTTGTTTACACAGGACACCACACAGTATACCTGTTTACACAGGACACCATACAGTATACCTATTTACACAGGACACCATACAGTATACCTGTTTACACAGGACACTATATATACAGTATACCTGTTTACACAGGACACCATACAGTATACCTGTTTACACAGGACACCATACAGTATACCTGTTCACACAGGACACCATACAGAATACCTGTTCAGCTTCTGTTCACACAGGACACCATACAGTATACCTGTTAAGTACACCACACAGTATACTGGTATTCACAAGACACAATCCTTATCTTTATCTTTGTTCATGCATTTATAATTACTGCACACAGGGACCTGATCGAGAGGGCTATACGAGCTTTCCACCCTTCTCGTATATACGATCATTGAGGGTGTCATTTTTACTGAAAATCGATCTTAACCTCTAAACATGTAAATTACTCTGAACCCCTTAGTTTAGGTCCAAATATAGCTGTAACAAATGTTCAGGTCCCTGTGACTCTAGTCTCTACTGAAGTCGGAATCTTGTCGATGCTTACTTATTTCGGATAATGGCGATGAGCCATCCAATTTCCCAAATAATCTCGTTAAAATGAAGTAACCTGTCCAATGCACTCCCAGCATTAAAATCCCTAAGCGACCATACTTGATCCACGCAGGGATTTTTGTGGGATCTCGGTACCTGTATTTCATTCTGCCATTGACGGTCACATTGTAGTTATAGTCTGTGTCATTTTTGCGCTTGCATTTGGATAGTAGCGTTCCGGAATTTGTTGCTACAAGTTAGAGTCGAAACATTTTTTTTTTTAAATGTCACACTTACCGAATTATATGACACTCATACTGTGTCGTTTATCAATAAGCTTATTTATCACTAAATCAAATTGCATGACATACACACTGTAATATAATGCAGCTCGTCACGGACCCTTTCGCGTATCCGATTCAACCGGTTTGCCTGTTTTGAAAGTAAACATTTTCGGGTATAAATCCTGACGGACCTACAAATATGTGTTCATGCCTTGCAAGGCTTTGTCAATGCTCGCCTGAAAGCAGCATCAGATTACTTCAACTCTAACGATAAACGAATGTGACCAGTTTGTCCGGCATTCGTGTCTATGTTTATACACAAAAAATAATCATGTTATCTTGAACGCTTGTCATATGGCGGGAAATCAAAATGGCCACATATTTGACAGTTACCGGCGGATTAGAAGATGTTAAGCTTCATGCAGTGCCTTGTCACATTCATTACGATGGAAAAGCTAATATATCACAATATTTTGAATCCAACTCACGAAAATCTGTTGAAGGTAATTACATTTATTTATGTGTCATTGGTGTCGGGTCGTTTCGCCCTAAATCCCGTTCGCCCTGGTCGTTTCGCGCTAGTTTCTTTTTGCTCGAAAATATTGTTAAGGCGAAACTTTTTTAGTCCAGTTGTGTGTTTTTATTTCACTTTATTCTCTATTTCAGTAAAATAAATGTTACTGAAATGTGTAACTGTTGGCAAACTGAAGGATTATTACCCATATGCGCCGTCCTGCCCATACTCGATATCCAGGGGTTACGCTCACGTTCGCTGTCTACAACCCTGGAATATGTCATGGCATAATTGAAGGCACGAAGATAGCTCTTTGATTGGTCTCAGGTAAAAAAAACCTGACCAATCGCTAGGCTGATACGTATACCTGTCCTTTGAAGATTACAAAGGAGAGACGCCCGACTTCAAAGCCTGTCAATTTTTACCGTTTCATGACCGCGAGATTCTTTGATGTACATCAAAGGACCCAACTAGTCTTCTTGTCTCATCAACAAGGTGGCACACATCGAGCCTTCAATTTTGCCATTTCATATTCCAGGTGTGTAGAGAGCGGATATCGAGGATGCGTTGTGCCCAGCCTGTATAATAGGGTTCCTATTATAATAACCGAAAAGTGGTATTAAGCGACATGCTATTAAGTGGAAACTTCTGTATATAGTAACACATCTTATAACTTAAAAATAAATATTTATATAAGGGCGAAAAAAACTTTTGTGAACTGGATTGAGGGCGAAACGACCCGTGGTGCGAGCAGGATTTGGGTCGAAACAACCTGGATCCGTAGTCATGCCATCCAACTGAAAACAGAGTGTACTAGTCAGACGTTAAAGCAACTTCAACTCTCAACAAGTGACTTTAAGCGTCAACTAGCATCGCCAGACAAAATCTTTAAAAATGCTATATAAAGTAAGCGAATATAATATATTCCAGATGGCAGAGTCAGTACAATATACATTGTAGCAAAATTAAAAAACTAATATACAGCAGGTGGTAAAAATTGAGCAGTATATACATAGAGATTTGTTTTCGACATGTCTGGTACAAAGAGAGAACATGATATCGAAATAATAAGAACTGGACACTTGCAAATTATATTCCATAAACCCTCTTTTGAACATATTACATAGAAATATATTTATTAACAATATAAACATGTGTATATGGTACAGGGCCATTGGCCTTTGCCCAACTCATTCTTAAAAAAGAATAGTTGGTCATAGATCATAATTACTTCATTAGATATTGTTTACACTTTGGTAAATACAATTAGAAATCAAAAATAAGGTTTTATATTTAATGTGCAGGTAAAAACAAAGACAATCCTTACACTCCAAAGTTCTCTGTCCTCTTTGATACAGTCCTGAAAAGGTACTAGCTCACAAAACACGAGAAACAAAGACTGACACGCCAAAGTGACTACAAGAAACAACCAATCAAAACAGATATTTTATATATATATATATATATATAACTCTACGTAATGACCAACACAAACCCCACTATAGAACACTAGCATACATACCACATGATATCACAATATGAGATAAGGTATGCGAACAGGGTAGTCTCTTTGTTAAACGGACGTGATACAAACAAGAACAATATAATTAACTTTACACTTATATCACAATTTATATAAACATTAAATCTCTTCCTATTGTTTTCTGAATACTAGTTTCTTATGTGACGTATGTTTTTTCATTTTGAATTTACAGCTATGACAGCCTCTTTTCGAGGTAGACCATTAAAAGGGGAGGTAATTAATGTGCCTCATGGCTACACTGGTCTTGTTGTCAAGGAGACTAGGAAAGCAGTGACAGAAGACGAGGACCGCCATTTAACAACCATCAATAAATTCAAGGAAATAAACTACTGGAACCTGGACAGAACACCATGTGAAGATGATAAGATGAAGCAAGCTCTGCACTGGTTAGATCTTGCTAAGGTGGTAAGTTTGTTTGGGATGAAGCAATCATTCTACTGTATATACTGGTAAAACAAATATTTGCCCCATGTTAATTTTGCCCATCACATGTAATTACTAATACAGGGTACTTTATAGTATATATCATTTATGGTATGCTGTGTACAATGATTCATTATGATAAATTTGCCCTCATAGCAAAAGGCAAAAAAATTAAACAGTGGCGAAGATTTTTCGGTATACAGTATTTGTTGGAAATGGTTCTGGGGGTAAGATTGGTTGAAATGAAACAATCACAACATTTACTGGGTATGTTTTTGGTGGTGAGTTTGGTTGGGATGAAGTAATCGCTAAGATTGCTGGCAATTATTCTGGTGAATTTGGCTGTGAGGTGATGACTGAAGCAGGTGAGCTAATTGCGAGGGAATGGTGTTGGTGCCATACTGTTGGTATTACAGTTAGCTTAGATCAAGTAGGTGACGGTGCTATAATAGCAAGAGATAGCTTAGATCAAGTAGGTGACAGTGCTATATTGGCAAGAGATGGCCATATTAAGTTCAACTTTTTAGCCCACCATCATCTGATGGTGGGCTATTCAAATCACCCTGCGTCCGTGGACCGTCGTCCGTCCGTCGTCCATCCGTAAACAATTCTTGTTATCGCTAATTCTCAAGAAGTACCAGAGGGATCTTTCTCAAATTTTATATGCGGGTTTCCCTTGGTCCTTAGCTGTGCAGGGCAACTTTTGAGACTGATCGGATAAACAACATGGCCGACAGGCAGCCATCTTGGATTTTGATAGTGTGGTTTTGTTACCGCTATTTCTCCGGAAGAACTAGAGGGATCTTTCTTAAATTTTATATGTAGGTTCCCCTTGGTCCTAGCTGTGCAGGGCAATTTTAGAGACTGATCGGATAAACAACATGGCCGACAGGCAGCCATCTTGGATTTTGATAGTGAAAGTTTGTTATCGCTATTTCTCGGGAAGTACGGGAGGGATCTTTCTCAAATTTTAAATGTAGGTTCCCCTTGATCCCTCGTTGTGTATGTTATATTTTGAGACTGATCATAAAAACAAAATGGATTAAAAGAAGAACTAAACAGATCTTTCTCATATTGCAATGATCGATTCTATTTCTTTCACATTAAGTACTGTACTAGTAAATATGTGAAATGACAAACTCACTTTGAAGGTTGGCTTTCATACACATCAGTATTAAGTTTAGATCAAAAGTTACCTCAAGGTGCATTTACTGTTAACATGACTCGATCGAACAGATTAGAGGAAAGAAGAGAAAAGATAGAACTGACAAAGAACTAATGAAGATGGTACAAAGGTGGGCGCCAAGATCCCTCTGGGATCTCTTGTCTTTATTGCTTGGGCTGGAGCTATAGCTAAGTGGGTTTTATGACAGGTAGTAATTTTAAAGCAAATTACATTACTGCTGTAGCATCTGTGATGTTTCTTTATCATACATGACAATCTTGTGATGTTTCTTTATAATGCATGACAATCTTCAGAATATTGAAGTTGATGGGCTGGTATTGGTAGTAATTTGACCTCGATAAATGCAAAGGTCAGTTTGATTATTCATAACTGATGACTTAATCTACATGTTTAACTCATTCACTCCTGAAGACACATATGAACTCTTCCAATTCAAAGGTTGGAATATAGGTAGTTCATTATGAAATTTCAGGAGTGAATGAGTTAATGCTATGACTGTATATAAAAAACAGTTATCAAATTGGCACAAGGTTAAATTTCTATGAAAATTATAGTTTTGAAAAGATTGTTCATGGACATTGAAGTAACATTCAAAGATTTCAAGTGTTAGTTCATTAAAAAAAAATCATTCCAGATTATTTATTTTTTATATAAAGAAATAAAGAAATAATTGATTTGCTACATTAAAAAACTTATTCAGTTCCAACCGATAATTTGTTGAATTTTCAATGTTCATTTATAAATCAAGGACAATAAGTCATTAAGGGAATAATGGCAATAAAATAAGATATTTCTGAGTATTTCTATTTCTTTTCAGCTTCATCAGCCCCTGGAAGATGAAAGTAGTCAGAAGAGCACTGTGGGAAATTGATATTTGTCAAATTTATGTGCCACAATGACTACAGGATAGAGTATTCTCCCTTGACTTTACATGTGATCAGAATCAATTACTATAACATATTGAGGAAAGTACAAAACATCTTTATGGTTATTACAAATGTACATGATACAAGTACATTTTACCGAGTACAGATTCCATTGACAGGCTTTATACATTATCTACAATACATTTTATTTAACACCTTATTGGTGGAATATAGTATGATATTTGTAGTATTAAATTTCTAATTAAGACATATATTTGTGTTTTTATTATTATTGCATGCATTTTAATTTACCAGTTTCTTTTCCAAAGGTTTGAAATTAGGACAGTTAGAAGCAATTGGCATGAAATTATATATCTTTTTGAAGAAAGAAAGAAAAGCCAATTATGTTCTAATTCACCAATTCAAACGAACATAAATCATTTATCAATTACAACTCGACACTGTAATATAGGAAATAGCTGACTGCAGCTAGCACTTTTATTTGTGGTAAATACAAAAACAAGGCAAAATCAAGCGACTGTGCGCGGCTGTTCCTGAGCGTCTGTTCCTTTAGCTCCAAGTCCCAAAGGATCTATCCTAGAATGTCTGTAATATGCCAACGCCTATAAACCTGAAAGCATACACCAAATGGCTCAGAGAGTAACACCAAAACAAATTAACTCTCTACTGCTCCCTACCAAATACCACAAGCGCACTGTCTGGCTGCAACAGCTCGAATGACACTACACCTGTACACCCTGTATATGACAACCCCCTACCCCAGGTAATTCATGTGCAACACGTAATTCACCGCGTACGTCAAGACTCCATGCCTTACCCCTACATACACAGGTACTCCAGCACCTACGTAACCCCAGTGATCCTGTACCATTGATAAATATAATTACTAGTTTCCTCTTTTAACCACACCATGGAAATGATTCAACTTTACAGATTTACACTACAAATACATCTTTTATTTCTAATCCAATATTTCCATATGGTTTTAATTATGTAAGTTTGGCATGGGACGACATATATTGATCCGCCCCTGTGGTCCTCTTGGTTTCAGCCCACTATCATCAGATGACAGGCTGTTCATATCGCCCTTCGTCCCTGGTCCATTGTCCTTCCGTCCATAATTCCATCTTCCCTTAAGCAATTCCTCTTAGCTCTGTTTTTATGCCCCAGCCATAGAATGGGGGGGGGGGGGGGGGGGAAA